CATTAATGGTATTTCGGCCCTAAAAATCCTATTGTTTAAGTTTTAGGGGTGGATTTAGCATGTCCTACTGCCCAGACCCTTGCGTGACGTGGGTATGGACCATGAAGGAAGTACGTGTGGCAACAGAACAGCAGCAGATTCCCATCCCCGAGGAGTTCAAGGACGGTGTTGCCGGAGACCTGATGTCGATGCTAAGACTTAATAGGCAAGTTTACATAGTTTAGGGTTTAGGGGTTTAGGGTTTAGGGTCACATATCCCTTCAAGAACCGTTCCGGAATTGTAGGAGTTTCTCAACAGGTTCCTTTATATAATCTTTAGTACGGAGCCCTAGAATCCCTTCATAAACCCCTTACAATCCCTAATGTAGCCCTTGTATCCCTAGAGCCTTGATGTAACTCCGAATCCTTGCGGTTGCCGTGAAAGGCAAAAGACTGCCCTGCGAGCCCGATAGCCCTGGATTAAGGAATACTCATACTTAAGCGTCATGAATTGGATCCGTGCGTCATGTAAGGAAGTAGTATACTCCCTAGTGAAGGCATATTCCTAAATTCAGGTATACTCAATTGAGGTATGTTCCTTAATTCGGGTTTATTGGGCTCTCCCTAGACCCAAAACCCCCATCCCTAAACCCTTACCCCCAAACCCTAAACCCTCAGTCCTAAATCCTCAACCCCAAACTCTGAATACTAAGCTAAGTTGCTCCAGGCCCCATGCACGCTCGCGGCCGCAGTGATGGAAAGCACACCCAGAAGCTTCCAAGTGCCCGCAGGTGACCAGGAGATCCCTGAAGTCTAGGGTTAAGAGTTTAGGGTTAAGGGTTTAGGGTTTAAGGATTAGGGTTCAGAGTTTAGGGTTTAGGGATTGGGTTTAGGGTTCAAGGTTTAGGGATTAGGTTTTAGGGATCAGGCTTCAGGATTTAGAGCCTTGGATTTGGGATCAGGGTTTATGGTTTAGGGAGAGAACCAAATACAAAAGAAGCTGGTAAATGAGGTGGACACTGGGATTATCGAGGAGTTTATATAGAGTTTATATAAACCATTGATCATTGCAGTTGTAGGCCAATTACGGCCGTGTTCGGAGATCTTAAGGGCTTGTAATTGGTTTATGAGAACTGTTGCAAGGAAGTTCTAGCTGCCTGGAATGTCCCATGAAGCCCAAAACGCGCAAGATGGAAGGTGCACGGTGCTGGGGATTTGGGTTTCGGGTTCAGGTTTGGCCTTCTAGGCCCTGGGGTTTGAAGTTGGGAGTTGGCTGAGTTTAGGGTTCAGGGTGTGTGGGGCTATAGGGTTCTGGAAGCTACGTCTTTAGTGTTTAGTGGTCTCAGGTTTGGACATTGCTCGCATCCTTGTGAGGGCTCCGGCTCAGAGTGGATGTCTGAGGAGTTTGACCGTAACCTGCACCCTAAGCCAAGCACCAAACCCTAAGCCTAAACACTAAACCCCACACCCCCAAGCCCTAAACCCTAAACTCGAAACCCAAAACGGGTCAGAGTTCCTGGAGTTGCAACCGGGGGCACGCACCCCAGGGTTGACAAACACCGTCGAGTAATCCCCTCGTCCTACTACTTAACCACCCAAATCCTTCAAAGGGTTACAGGGGCTGAATGTTTAAAGTTTAGGCTGTATGTATATATATTTATAGGTTACATGAGTTTAGGGTTTAGGGTGTAGAAAATACTGTGTATACATATACGTATGGGACTGGCATAGAATATGGAGACTACATGGGAGGGTTGTGCCCTGGGCTTGAGGATCCTTTAGGGGACTACATTGTTTCATTAAAGGATTATATTGGAGGGGTAAGCCTCATCTATATTGGGGTAAATATATATTTATCTGGGAATGGAAAAGAAAATGAAAACTACTGGGTTCAGGGCTCATCATTAAAGACCTCCCCACACCCCAGTGATAAATACCCTCGATTTGGTATCCCTTTAAGGGGCTACCTAGGGATATCTAGGGGTACACAGGATCCCCACAGTATTGTAAGATGGAATCTCATTCGTAATTAGGTGATGGGGGGTGATTTTACAGGAGGGGACTATGAGATTAGGATCCTACATCCACCTAAGTGTCTTATGTCCTACCCTAAACCCTAAACCCTAAACCCTTAAACCCTAAGTTCTAAGACTTGCAACCGTTCCTGGCTTCGGTGTTGCGAGCTTGGGTCCTGCATCATTTTCAATATGGGATTTCCACAGCTGTGGAGTCCCTTTTGGGAGTCCCTGCCACAGGATTTAAGGTTTAGTGGTTATATTGGCCCCCTTTTTTGTGGACCCGGCCTCATATGGTGTTGGAAGGAGGAATTGCACTGAAACCTGACCCCGCACAGCAAAGCATTGAGCGTGCGGACTTTTACGCAGAGAGCCCGCTACACCTTTTTAAGGGATAGAACTCAAACCCTACCAGGTTTATCATTTAGGGTGGATCCCGGAATGCTTTAAGTAGTAATCCAAAGGCATTTGGGCTCCCTGCGTACAGCCTGAACTGCTGCCAAGATTCCAGTGGCTAAGGGTCAGGGGGGGGCCTTCTAGTGGTGAATTTCCTCATTTCCTAATCTAAGGAAGAAGATTGACTTCAGCCTTTTTTGATCATAACGTCCCGCGCCATCCATTAGATGATCCCTGCAAAACCCTATCACACCTTTTAGCCCACATAACCCTGTATAAACCTCATAGTTGTTTATGCTCAACATCAATCCCGTATGAGCTATAGGCTAAAATCGTAGTAGCCACCTTAATAACCCCCATAATCCTCCCCTATATGATCTCCTATATAGCCCCCCTCAAGGAGTTTAGGACTTAGTACATATGGCGCCTAGGTAATAAGCAATATTTATAGACACCAAAATACTGTAGCCTTTATTCTTGGGACTCCCAAAAGGTAGCCCTAATTATTGGACCCTAAACCCCAGACCCTAAACCTCACATAAACAAAGAACTTCCAAAGGCTCCGTAGAGAATGCCCCACAGATTCGACAGCATACTTGCCAGGTGTTCTCGAACAAGCAGTGGAGGAGCCAAAGGGTAAGGGGTCTACATAGGGTTCATACCGGGCTTGTGCTGGATGATTTGTACAGGATTCATGTTGGGTTTTGTTAATTTAGGGCTTACGTTGGGTTTGCATAGGGTTTATGTAGGGACTAGATAGCGTGTATGTGCGTCGTGGGGCTGTTGAGGGTTGCGGGTAAATTCAATTTCGGACAATGCCTCCGAAACGGCGCACTCCCAGGTGACAGTGGCAGCTACCTCAGAAAGTCATAGGAGTCATACTAGACGATTCAGGAAAGCCCTTTTTAGGACAGTGAGTGGGGGGGAATGACCCAAGAGGTACCCTGAGTCCTAAAGTAAGTTTCTAGAGGTCATTCCTGGGCATATTTGGTATATCATGTCATCTCAACCGACCTCATCTTAATTGGTGGTTTGTATTGAAAATCGTCAATTCTTTGTTATGCAAACCAGCATTCTTGGGTCACACGATTTAGAGTTTGGAGTTTGGAGTTTAGGGTTTAGGCGTGGTATGTGGGTTAGGTGAACCCAGAATTTTCAGAATATGTTACATCGTGCATGACTTTTCTCCCCCACCACCCAAGACGGAAGCCCCAAACCCGAAGCCTCAACCCAATCCATCTACAAGCTGAACCCCTGCACATTGGATGTTTCCAAACTATCTTTCAGCACTAAAGTATCTCTGACAAAAAACGACATGCCTCCACTCCAAAAAGCAAGCTTACCCAAGCTACTGTGCTAATACACCCTAAAATGTGGGACAAATACCCCAAATCAGGGCCTGCAGGAGTTCATGGTAATGTTCCGAAAGAAGGCCTAGATCCAAAACCCTAAGAACACTAAGCCACCCGCGCCCTTGCTATAAGCTCGTGTCCCCGGCAAGTCCAATATCCCTTCATTAGGGAACATACCGACCCTAAATGAAACAGGCGCTGGATGCCAGTCCTCCATTGTCCCGTCCTTTGCCGGTCGAGATTGCTGATGTCCTTTGCCCGCCAGAGTGTTCAGGGACTGTAGGGATCCAAGCTCTAGACCCTAAACCCTAGACCCTTAGCCCCAGATCCTAGACCCTAGACCCTAAACCCCAAAAGGGTTCAAGGCTTAGGGTTCAGGGTTTAGGGTCTAGGGTTTAGGGTTTTGGATTGAGGGTCAGGGCTTAGGTCTACGTAGCCTTTCCTTTTATAGTCCATGCAGCGCCCTCCGTATGAAATCCTGGCATAGCCTGCATATCTTTCCAGACCTTCAAGCTTAGACCTGGCGCAGAACCCTAAACCCTAAACCCTAAACCCTAAAACCCTAAAACCCTAAACCCTAAACCCTAAACCCTAAACCCTACACTTTAAACCCTAAAACCCTAAAACCCTAAACCCTAAACCCCAAACCCTGAAACCCTAAAACCCTAAACCCTGAAGCCTAAGCTCGAGGGTCCCGACTTGGAGGATCAGGGAACTTACTGTAGCATCTGTACTTTTTACCTTCGCCACATGGTTCTCAAAATTAGGGGTTACATAGGGGTTTAGGGTTTAGGGTTTAAGGGTCATAGGGCTATAGAGGGATGTATAGCGGGGTCCAGGGTTTAAGGTTTAGGGTTTCCCAAGGTTAGGGGTACCCTTTCGGGGATCCAACACTAAAAACTGTAGTATTTTGAAGTCTACATGGGAGTCACCCTGAACCCTAAACCCTAAACCCAAAACCAAACTACAATTACTCCCGGCCTTGCCCTCCAAGTATGCAGTCCTTATGGGGGGGGGGGGTTGTCAGAAGCATGGTCCGTTTATCATAGGGGCCACCAAATACTGGGGACCCAAGGAATCACCACAGCTTTGACAGCATAAATCCGAATTCCAAAGCCGTAAACCCTACACCCTAAACCCCAAACCCCAAACCCTTAACCCTAAGCCCTACACCCTTTATGGTTTTTCTCCTGAGGCTGAACGTCAAGCGGTGCGACAGCAGCGCCGGCTTCAGATGGAGAGGGAGCTTTGTGAGAAGCCTGGAGCCAAGAGGGTTTAGGGGTTAGGGGTTTGGGGTGTGAGGGTTTTGAGTTTCAGGTTTGGAGTTTTGAGTTGAGGATTCAGAGTTTGAACATGTTTTGGGCTGTAGAGTTTAGGGTTTATTGCTTAGCTTTGGAGCTGGAGGTTAAGGGATCGAGCTTTGGGATTTGAGGTTTAGGGCTTAGGATTTAGGGTCTAGGGTTTTGAGTTTAGGGCTTAGGATTTTTTAGGGTTTAGGGTTTAGGATTTAGGGTCAAGGATTTAGGGTTAAGGATTGAGGATTGAGGCTTACCCCTGCAAGCGGCAGGGAATCCTGCATAGGCCTTTCTACCCAGGGGAAGCTAGTTATCCCAACGTCTAAACTTAGGACCCGACTGTTGTCACAGTATAGACCTCATTAGTGTTTCGCAGTTACCGCATACACTCCCGGAAATTAACATCCTTCTAAAAGGGGACTACATGGGTTTCCATGTTAGTTTGGGGGAGTATACATGCCTAGGTTCCGGGGCACAGGCCGCGAGTAGCCATGCTGACTTGAAGCCTTTTGCTCAGGCACAGCACCAGCAGGCCATTCTCTTACACCCATACAAAAGAACATGGCAGGGTTTCCATAGAGAATCCTCATTACATTATAAGGACTCCCCATAAGGATCCCCTAATTTCTGGAAACCGTAACCCCTTACATCCTTACACATCCCTCTGCACCCCTACGTAACCGTACTCCATATGGGGATTTCCCATTACGATATCGGCCCCTACAGTGGGGTTCCCATCACATTGCGGGTCCCTATATAATTTTCCCAAGTTTGGGAATAGTAATCCATGCCAAGTATTCTTTAAATCCTTCTATAATCCATAATCCTTTAAAAGGGGCCCTATGATAGGGGCCAGGAGGACCGCCCCTTAAAGCAAGCTGACCCATCAACTGACCGGAGCGCCAGCTGCGCTGGCGGACCCTAATCCCTACCCTAAACCCTAAACCCTAAACCCTAGATCCTAAACCCTAAACCTAACCTTCAACCCTAATCCCAAAACCCTAAACCCTAACAGCCCTAAACCCACCCCTTGAGCTCTACGTGTTGCTTGCTTCTCAGGCTTGGACTGCCTGAGGCACTTCAGCTGCGCGGTTTGGGGTTTAAGGATTTAGGGTTTGGGGTTAGGATTTGAAGTTGGGTTTAGGGATATTACCCCAACAATGGAGAATCAAGTGGACAAGACAACGCCAAATGAATTGGACACTTGGATTATCCAATGGTTTCTCGGAATTAGGCACTACATGAAATAGGGTTTTTACTGTTGTATTTGGTGAGCATATACAGGGGGTTCCTTTGGGCAAAATTGGTGGACGTATTCATTTGGTGTCTACTTTATGAATCAAGAACCTACTATATATGCGGTTTCTATCAATTGGTACAGAGGGGTTTTGACCTTGGAGTGAGAATCTTAGGGCCAAGGGCTTAGGGTTGCGGTCTTAGGATTCAGGTTTGTAGGGGTGCTTGAGGGAGTTTTTTTCCCCTGTACCAGCCGTTGCAAGGTCCATCCTTAATTAGTTTTGTTTATGTGTTGTGTTGCGTTCAGGCCAGGCCATGAAGGAGGAACCCAGGGACGATTAGGATGCTACGGGTTTAGGGTTTATGGTTTTGGGGTTTGGGTTGAAGGTTTAGAGTTTAGGGATTACGGTTCAGGGCTTCGAACTTTCGAGATAGCAGAAGTGTTTTCTGGGGGTTTCACAAGGTGTTTGAATTCTTCTCTTTCGCTTTGGCGTTTTGTCGGGCTTGTCTAGTTAACTGATTCCTGGGTTCTTGGTGATAAAGGGTTTGAGGTTCAGGCAGTTGGTTAAGGAATTCGTCTACACGTAGCCAAGACAGTGTATTGCAAGACCCTAGACCTGGAAGCCTTCCACACTACCCCCTCCCAAGGTTCCCCTTTAATTCACGACTATAAGCCCGAATGATCCCTATGCAATACTGGGCAAGTGTGCGGTCGTAGTAGGGGAACCCATGATGGATCCAAAAAATGAGCCCACAAGCTGAAACCCCAAACCCCCCGCGCGGGCGGTAAGGCTTACTTTACGTCTTGTTGAGTGTATGCAGGAACTCTTAGGAGCTTTACATGTTCTACATCTTTGGGATGTCACTTTGGGGGTGACACTGAGCATGAGCCCTACAGCCTAACCCTAAACCTTGTCCTGATCGCTGCTTGTACCACCTGCATCGCTATCGGGCACAGGAGGAAGGCAACACATGAAGAAGTTATTGAAGTCAAGGCTGGGTGCGACGGAAGTTCGCCGCGAAGCTTTTTGATGCGCTGGCACTTTCCGACAGCGCCTGTGGAGCGCTGGTTCCGCCAGCGCGCACCTGCGGCGCGTCCCAAACAGCCAGCAGTAAACGGCGCCATGGGTAGCCTAGCTTTGCATGGGAATTCTCCTGCCATGTTTTAAGGCCCTGGACCCCATCGACCCTGCGTGGCGAGTGCTGTTCTCCTCACGCCTGGGTTGGGGGAGGTCAAGGAGCACTAATCGTGGTGGCGGCGCTCCCGAACATGGTGACGCACATGGTACCTGCGATGGTACTTGATATCTCTACTGTAACCAATCTTCATGTTCCACATTAAGAAGCCGCCGCTGGTGAAGCTAAACTCTCAACACCCGCGCCCGGAGTCCGTGACCAGAGACCCAGGAAACCCAAGCTCAAAACCTGCAACCTCAAGCCTTGTATTCTAAACCCAACACAGTTTAGCCCCTTAAAGGGGGGACTACTATGGGGGTTATTAAGGGGGACTGTAGGGTTTAGGGGCTTAGGGTTTAGGCTTGAGGGCTTTCGGGGTTCAGGAGCCTATGGGCCTCTTCGGATAACCAGTATGATCCTTGATGGTTTACAAGTAGACTGCTTATGAAGAACCTCGGTGGCCTGCAAAGTTCCACCCAGAAATTCTCAACCCTAAACCGAAAAACGTAGAACCTGACAGGCCCCAACGCGGAAACATAAGTCGTAACTTTGCCCTACAGCCCAAACGCGAGGCCTACACCCCAAAGCCTTACACCCTGAACCCTAAATTCGCTTCAGGTGTCCGATCAACCGGCAGCGCAAGTCAGCGCCTAATGCGATCTCAGCCGTTCTCGAAAATTAGGTTTGGTGATGATGGTTCTGGGTGTTTATGAATTAAAGCGTGGGCAAGAAGTACTTGATCCACGGTATCAGGGTGTTATTTGTTGCTATTGGAATTGTGCTTTTGTTGCTATAACCATGCTACTAAGCTGACTACGAGTATTCAAAGAAATGGCAGTTTCCCAAAATAAGGGCAGCCCAACATAGACCCCAATATACTATAGTCCTTATTATGGGGACCCCCAAAATGGTCCCAAATGATCTGTCTTTGACGGACGGGGAAACGTCTGGCGTCGTGAAGGGTGTATGGGGATCAGACCAGTATGTGAGACCGACACATTGGAAACTGGGGTTATAGTATTTTAGGATAATGGAAAATAGAATGGAACATATTATACGTAATGGGGTTATAGGGTGAAGGGTTTAGGGTTTAGGGTAGGCAACACTTGTTCTTAAAAAACTCTTGTCTGTTGGCCGTATGCGGAACCCGAAAAGCAAAACGCAAAAACCCTGAAGTTCCCTAAGCACTAAAACCCGTAAACCCTAAAACCCTAAACCCTAGACCCTAATCCACTAAAACCCTAAACCCTAAACCCCTGAACCCTAAACCCTAAGCCAGCAAATAGTCCTATCATCATACCCTTGAAGCATCTTTTTGGAAGCATGTCACTAGGGCCCAATTTTGGGCTTCCATGTTTTGGGTTTGGGGTTTAAAGTTTAGGATTCAAGGTTTAGAGTTGGAGGACTGTGCTGATTCAAGACACCACTGCGGCCATGTGGTGATTGGCTTCCCAAGCCCTGCACCCTAGATCCTAAACCCTAAATCCTAAATCCTAAGCCTTAAGTCCTAAACCCTAAATCCTAATCATAAGCCCTAAATCATAAGCCCTAAATCCGAAGCCTTCAATCCTAAGCCCTAAGCCTTTAAACCCTAAACCTCAGGCCATGCCTTAATCTGGTACCTCACTACGATACGAATTGCAAGCTCAACTTCTAACGTGATGAAGACTAGAAGCCATGTTTAGGCCAAGCACTACATGCTTAACTTGAAGCCCTAACCCTAAACCCCTAACCCCTAAACCCCGAAATCCCAAACCTGGCCTAGAGCCTCCGGAGCCATGTTGCGAAGTCTTCTCCGCGCCTCTGAGTCCTTCAACGCGCTGTTGGACTCCCGGGCAGTGTATGGAAGGTTCTAGGGGTTTAGGGTTTTAAGGGGGTGTAGGGTTTAGGGGGTTTAGGGTTTAGAGGGGTTTAGGGTTTAGGGGTTTACGGTTTAGGGGTTTACAATTTAGGGGTTTGAGTTTGGAGTTTTGGTTTCGATGTTGGGGGTACTGGCTGGAAGGTTCTAGGACCGGCAAACCAAAAGGGCCCTATTGATTGCTGGTGTTTGATCTCTGAGCTTGAGGTGTAGCATCCATTGTATCAGTTTCGGGTATATATAAGTTTCTGGTAAGCACCAAAACCTTAACACCCTACACCCTGAACTCCAAAAAAGTCGTGAGGGTTTTGAGATTGGTTATAGGCAGAGACTTTCAAGCTTCGGGCTCAGGGACCAAGACTAAACACGGCGTTCTGAAAAACATAAACATAGTGCGTGTTCTTCCGTGACATTTTCAGGGGCATACATTAAGTGTTGTGACCCGCCCCTCTCTAGTAAGGTTGTCACGGCACTTAACCCTGCCCCCATGATCCATTGCTACTTTGTTAGCATAACCCTCCATAAATTGACGTGGAACCCCATGTCAGCCCGTTCAAAATCGTGTTTTTTTTGTGGATTCCATGCTAGTTTCTGGTGCATTTTTTTGTAGCCCATCCCAAACCTTCTTCCAAGGAGGTAGTACAGGCCCATGACCTGAAACCGTAAACCCTGAAAAGGCGGCGTATAGCCCCCATGAACTCCAAAATCCACGATGCATTCGGAGAAACCCCCATGCAGGTCCCCCATGAAGTCCAGGGTCCAACTCAAAGCTCCTCCAGTTTTTCAGACCCGTCGTTCAAAAACGTTTCGTCCCAAATTATGTACGGTGGGCCCTGAAGCAATTACCAAGAGTCTGCTTTTGCAACCCTTATGTAAAGCAACCCCAAACTCTGATTATTCAGGCGCCACCAAGTGCAGATTTTAGTTTAAGGTCAAGCCCGATACACAAATTGAGCCCGCCAAGGACGGACCCTACGGCACTGTAGCGAAGGTTGTCTACGTCAGCTACTTCTCCTGCAGTGTGCCGTGTTGAGTATCAACATTTGAGGGTCTAGGATTTAGTCTTACGCAGTTTGAGAGAGTTTTTCGAGGGACCTCCAAAGGGACCCTGGAATTTGGGAAGTCCACTGTATGTGTGTAGCGTGCTAGTGCTATCCCAGCTCACGCCCCAAGCGTTGGGTTCTAGGAGGGCCTCAGAAACTAGGTACCCAGTAATGCCCTATTACCCTTTTTTATTTTATTTTAGGGTCTTCTTATTAAAGCTGACCATTAGAAAAAAGGGTACCCTTATTATTGAGGGTTACTGGGGAACCTAGGAAATGGTTTAATTAGCATGCATCTTCCCAAGCCAAATCCTCTTCTTCGTCCCCATTTGACAGACCGGCAAAGATCTTTACGTTGAATGCGACGGAGCCTGTTCAACAAAGTTCAACAGCATGTGAAAAGGAGGATTCGGAGCAATGGCTCCAAGCTTTGGCGCTTTCCATGGCTGTTGATCTTGACTGCAAACCTGAGATTCTCATGGGACTTTCACTGGTTGTGAGTTAGTAGGAAATGGAGGAATGGATATGTATAGCACCTCCTATGCAATTTCCAATGACGTAGCAGCATCGTAGTTTGAATTTGCTTTTCTGTCCGTGAATTCCTTGCCTTTGTTAGAGCTACAACGTAATACAGTCTGGTTTCACTTGAGAATGCGAAATACAAGAATAAGTATTTGTCTGCAGTTCTCATCTTTACCGCGCGGCCGAGGAAAACGAAATCGTGCAAAAGTCTTAGTAACTGTATCATCCCCTATGATCCTTACATAGCATATCTCATTGCCTTATTCTTTTTTGCAGGCTCCCTATAGTGACGGATGGCACGGAATCAATGGGTTTATTCTCAAATTGCGGGCCCCTTTTGGTGTTCAGCTTTTTTTACGCCCCCTCATATTGCCCAATAGGAGGGCTAACCCTAAAGCTGAATTTGGGGAATTACCCAATGACCCAACGGGAACCCTAAAGCCTGAACCCCAAACCCTAAACCCCAAAATCTACGCGCTAAACCCTAAACCCTAAACTTTGGGAAGCTACCCACTGCGACTCACTTGAGCCATAGTGTAAACTCCTAGTATCCCCCTTAACAACCCCCATAGTAGTGCCCTAGAATCCCTAAGCCCAAAATCCTAAACCCTAAACCCTAAAACCCTAAACCCTAAAACCCTAAAAGAGTTTAGGCTATAATTCACCTGAGGCCTCTTCTTCGGAGCCGGCGTCTTGGCGCTGTACTGGTTCGCGAGGTGGCGGCCACATCAGGTTTGGGGATGTAGGGGTTTAGGGTTTAGGGTTTTAGGGTTTAGGGTTTAGGGTTTAGGGTTATAGTCCCCGTTAAGTAGATAGAACATGGGGTGTATGGGGGTCTTATTATATATGACACCCAACGCCATATTCGATCTACTTAAGGGGGGCTATAAGCCCAAGGAAGGCGGTTTAGGGTTTAGGACTGAGGATTTAGGGTTTAGGGTTTGGAGTTTGGGGTTTAGGGTTTAAGGTTCACGCCTCAGGATTGAGGGTTTAGGGCTAGAACCTAAACCTTATTGAATCAGGCTTGCATTCAGGTATTTTGCCCACGAAGAAGGAAAACTATCCTGGTTCCTTCATGCACTGCAGGATCCGAAAAGCGAAGCGAAACTCTTAGGTCCTAAACCCTATAGGGGTTTAGGGTTTAGGGTTGAGGGTTTAGGGTTTAGGGTTGAGGGTTTAGGGTTTAGGGTTTAGGGCTTAGGGTTTAGGGCTTAGGAGATTGATCTAAAGGTCCTTTCGAAAACTTATTCACGGATCCTGTAGGTCTACAAGAAAAAATGTTAGGGTTTAAGAAGTAGGTTTTAGGGTTTAGGGTTGAAGAATAATTGGGGCTGTATATATAGGGATAATGGAAACGGAAATGGCAACTACCATATTAGGGTTTAGGGAAAAGTTTCGTAATGGCCATTTGGGGAACAGGACTTTTGATCAACTCCCACTTATAGCGGGATGGTGAATTTGGAGGGAGACTTCGAGGAGGAGCATGAAGCCCAACATATTGCTCCAACCCTCAACCCTAAACACTAAAGGATATCCCAGTAGGAGCTAGAACTTTGTGACATCCCTGTGCCAAGGATTGGCAAAGGTTGCCGTTTTCGAATCGTTGGGGACGTGTGCATACGGTGCAATTCTACATCTAGTTGCCTGCAATCACCTTCTCCTGACAGTAAACCCACCGCCCACCCAATCAGAATTGTACCCACCATACCATGTGATAGTAGATTGGGAGCATTAACTCTTTGGGGAGCCCTCAACCTTAAACTTTCAAAACAGGAAATGTTACCCAGAATGTTGAATGCCGGTCTTGATAGGGAATTCTGAACCCTAAACCCTAAACGCCCAAAAAGATCTTGTGCTTCACTGCCATTTCAGTTGTGCACTTTTTGTTTGTGTCAGTTGCATTATTGCATGGCCTGCTGTGCTGCGTAGCCGTAGCCCATTGCTTCACGCTCTTCCCTTGCCTGTCTTATCTGCGGACTGCTACTTCAGCTCTTTCCCGGATTCGTCATTGTCAGCACCCCATTTTGACATACAGTTTTTTGCCTGAGGCCATTTCACAGGAGGTTCGCAGCCTCGTAGCATGTTGAGGACGGCATCTGAAGTCCGAAGGCTTAAGCCCTGGCCCCGTAATCCTCATCCCGCACTTTAGCCCTAACCCTAATCCGAAACCCTACGCCCTAAACCCTATATTGTGGTTTCCATTTTCTTTTCGATTGTCC